GTACCTGTGATGCATCTCATTTCAGCTTGCACAGTAAGAGCCCATGTTAAAAGCTTAAGGTATAGATTCAACAAGTGCTGTAAACATTCCTCAGAGATTTTAGTCCATATTGACCTGACATCATCATGCAGATTGGTTGGCGGCACATCCCTGAGACGAACCTCCCGTAGATTGAGATCTAGTGACTGTGGAGGTACAATTAACTCATGTTCATTGAGATGATTTTAGTTTTGTGACATGGCGGTTATCCTGCTGGAGGTAGCCATGGGAAGATCGGTAGGCTGTTGTCATAAAGGGATGGACACAGTCAGCAACGATACTCAGGTAAGCTGTGGCATTTAAACGATGCTCAGTTGGTACTGAGGGACCCAAAGTGTGCCAAGAAAGTATCCCTACACCCTTACACCACCATCCATGTTTTCAAGTTGTTGACTCTACCATCTGAATGTTGCAGCAGAAATCGAGATCAGACCAGTCCGCGTTTGTCCAACCTTCTATTGTTGAGTTTTGGTGAATCGTAGCCTCAGTTTCCTGTTCTTAGCTGACATAGGGTGATGTTCTGCTGCTGTATCTGCTTCAACGTGTTGTGTGTTCAGATGGTCTTCTGCATACTTTGGTTGTTGTCAGTGGTTATTTAAGGTTACCTTTGCCTTTCTATCATCTTGAACCAGTATCACCATTCTCCTCTGACCTCTGGCTTAATCAAGACATTTTTTCCAGGAGATCTGCTGCTTACTGGATATTTTCTCTTTTTTTGGACTATTCCTTGTAAACTCCAGAGATAGTTGTGCATAAAAATCCCAGAAGATCATAAGTTTTTAATACAGTCCAACCAGCCTGTCTAGCACTGACAACCATGTCATGCTCAAAGTCACCTTTTCTTCCACATTCTGATGCTCAGTTTGAACTTCAGCAGATCAACTTGACCATGTCTGTGTCCAAAATCAGTCACTATTCAGTATACAGTGCACAATGCAGTGTTTATCATTTTGTAGTGCCGTCCAAATGCTAAGTTACAATTGTTACACCCTGTATAGTAATGCTGTCAAAATATAGTCAGATAAAGTAGTGCACACGCAATAATCACTAACCAAGAAATATGTACCATCGTGCCTTATGTCAAAGGAGAACGACAGACGGAAAAGAGAGCCGACTGAAGATTGAAGATTCCACTGCTGTCTTTTTCACTAAATTACGATGTAGTGAAATAAGACATTGCTTTTGAATTGTGGTTGAAATTAGTGCTTTAACAAAACAAACAAAGCTGTCCCAGACAAATAAGAGCACTTTGCTGAAGAGCAGTGGGCCAAAATCAAAATAAGTCTGATTGAGAGTTACAGAAAACACTTGATTGCAGTGATTGGCTGAAAGGGTTGTTCAACAAAATATTAGTTTACGGGTCCCATCATGCTTGTTTGCTTGTTATTTTTGTTTGTTTGTTTTAAAATATATATATATGTTTCTGTTGAACCACAATTCCAAAGCAATGCCATGATTTAAATTACTTTTTAAAATTTATTTATTTATTATTACTTTTGCCAATTTCAGCTTATTTCAGTGGCAGCAGTTTTTTTTCCCTTCCTTAATGGGAGGGTATGAATACATTTGAAGACGACTGTATATTGGCAGCTTATATTCAGCACAGGCCAGAGTGTTCCAATTTGAATAATTTAAGATTAAGGACGAAGTCAAACCAAATATGATCATAAAGTCATATGTTCTCCTGATGTGCAGTTCAGAATCAGAAATCAGAATCAGAAACAGATTTATTGCCAGGTATTGTTCTCACAATACGAGGAATTTGTTCTGGTGGGTTGGTGCAACAAAACAACATAAATATAGAGTAAACAATAAATATACAGTAAGATAAAGTAACTAAAAATAAAAATAACTTTAATAGTGCAAACAACTGTAATGGTGCAAAGAATGAAAGTTAAATTTAAATTTAAAAATGAATGGTCATGATGCCCTGGTAGGTCAACCGGATAGGACCCATGAACAGGTGCTACAGTCCCCGATGCAGCGATCGTGAGTTCGAATCCTGCTCACAACCATTTGCTCGGGGCTGCAAGGTGGTGCAGTTGGTAGCACTGTTGTCTCGCAGCTAGAAGGTTGCCGTTCGCATCCCAGTGGGGTCACTGGGATCTTTCTGCGTGGAGTTTGCATGTTCTCCCCGTGCAGCGTGGGTTCTCTCTGGGTTCTCCGGCTTCCTCCCACACAGTCCAAAAACATGCTGAGGATAGCTGGTGATTCTAAATTGTCCGTAGGTGTGAATGTGCTTGGTTGTCTGTCTCTAAGTGTGGCCCTGTGATAGACTGGTGACCTGTCCAGGGTGTCTTCCTGCCTTCATCCTAAGTCAGCTGGGATAGACTCCAGCCCCCCCCGCTACCCTAGTGAGGATTAAGCTGTGTGTAGATGATGAATGGATGGATGGATGGTGTTATTTACAGAAATATTGAAGGTGCTGATATATTGTTATTTACATGTATACAGATATAGAGGGGGCGATGGGGTCAGTGGGGGTCCTGTGACTTGAAGTTGACTTCATTTATTTTATTTAATTGGTCCACTGCAGGAAATCAAATGGGTGTAGCATGAAGTTGCAGTGGCTCTGCTCCATTTAAACCATATCAGTGTGCAGGATGAAGGGCAGTGGACCACACCTGAACGGAATGCAGCCCAAAAATTAAAAAAAATAAAGAAAAGAAAAGCCTTAAAATATGACATGTCAGAAAGTAGATGTGAATAATGTTTTGAAACTGTAAATGTTTGATGAACTGATGTTGCAGTAAATTCTCCCCCACTCCTCATGGCCATGACAACAGGTCTCTCCGTGCACTTTCAGTCACTCCCACCCAACGTGATCGGGAGACCCCTCAGGGCTCCACCTCGACCCGACGACCCCGTTCGATAACGAAGTCACCTCGTGAGGTCTCCGTGGACGTTACGAAAAGTCACGAGACGGTGCGCGCTCACGTGTCCCACACTACCGGATAGGCGAGCGTCTTCACGTGTCGTGTGGAGCCGTCCGTCACTTCCCTTACTCAACAATTTGCATAGTTGTTGTGATATAACCTAAAAGCGCAGCACCACCTCAGCAGGTACACGCCGCGGCGCTGCCACTCTGCCAACAAGCGTTACGCCCATCTGCAGGAAGCATGTCAGCCGATAAAGGTAAGGCTGTGGCCACCCTGTAGCACAGTGAGCTGGTCAGATAATGTCAATGTCAGAATGTCAGTGGCACGAAAGTTTAACACGTGTTACTATTTTGGGAGTGAAGTTTCTCAGACTGAACGTGTTACTGCAGGAGCCCGTGCATTGGGGGGGTCCACTTAATCGATAACCGCATTATCGATACATTTTTAATAGTATAGGTAGTGGAGTAATAATTACAATATCACTCTCTGAATCAAAAGTTAATGTATTTGTATTATGAAACAAACGTCTATTTTAAATAAACTAGATCAAATATTTGAAACTTTCTCGTTTAATTGCACTTCTTTTTTTTTGATAGTTTATTACTTACGTCTGGCGTTTTTCATGCATACTTATGAAAAAATGTTTTTTTCTCACAGTGTTTCAGCATCCAGTGTGACAGTACATGGATGTGTCGGGCAGATACACGATTTTCAATCAAATATTTCATTTTTGTATTTTAATCTTCACAGGGTGCCTGTTTAACATTTGTAGTGACGTAATACCGACAATATTTCCCTTCTGAAATGAAATTTGATTAAATTAATGAACGTAATTGCAATAGAAGTACCTTAGCAATGCACTTTTGTTACGATAAAACTCTCTTAAATAATCTGTTGATTCACACTGTAGATTTTTTTTCTGCAATGTTTTGATAGTTGATTATTTATATCTTAAACTTTTGAAACATTACCTTTATCTCCCAGTTTTTCTGTCCAGAGTGACAACGCATGGATATATAAGGCATTTACACCATTTTGTGCCACAAAAGTAATACTTTTGCACTTGTCTCATGTTAAAAAATCTCTTTTGAATAATTTAGTTAAAATACTTTCAACTTTTTTTTTTTTTTAAATTCACACTCTTCTGACTCTCCTCACCTTAATTGATTAGTAATGTCTAATTGATTCATTTTTCATGCAAAATTTTAAAAATTAGCGTTTTTCTCCCATCTTTTCTGTGTCCAGTGTGATGATACATGGATATATCAGGCATTTACAACATTTTATGGCATTTTTATAGACCATCAAATAATAAATTTGTCATTTTTTTTTATCTTCAGTATGTCTGTTTATCATATGTAGCGCATAATACCTTCGATGTTTCCATCTGGAATAAAATTTTAGCAAATGAATGAACATAAGTGTCTTAAATATGCACTTTTATTCTTTTAAAAGTCTCTTGTAAATAGTCTAGATTCAATATTTTGAACTTTCTTTGTTGATTCACAATCTAAAGGAAATTTTCCTGCATTTTTGATAGTTGATTAATAGTGTCTGTTATTTTTCCTTCAAACAATTGAAAAATTGCCTTTTTTCTGCCAGCTTTTCTGTGTCCAGTGTGACAATATATGAATATATCAGGCATTTACACTGTTTTGTTGCATTTTTAAAGCCCAATCAAAGAAGGAAATTGTACATTTTTAAATCCTCAATTTGTCTGTTTGATATATGTAGCGTAGTAATACCTGCAATATTTCCATCCTGAAATAAAATGGATGAACATAAGTGCAATAGAAGTACCTTTAAAATTCACTTTTATTATGTTAAAAGTCTTTCTTGAATAATTTAGATAAATAGTTTTTGTTAATTCATATTCAGTGGAATTTTCCTTTGATAACTGATTAATAATGTCTGTCATTTTTCCTGCAAAATTTTGAGAATGTGCCTTTGTCTCACGGCTTTTCTGTGTAATAATAAATGGATATATCAGGGATTTACACCATTTTCTGACATTTTTCTAGACCAATCAAATAATTAAAAGAACAAACTGCAGATCATTGGATAATGAACATCAGTTTCCAGTTGTAGAATCTGCATTATTTTGCCCAGGGCAGGAATGAGCAACGGAGAGAGCAGTTGATTACTAAATTACATATGTCATTCCCCCAGTTCCCGACACCCCAGTGGAAATCATTGTGGATCTGCTATCTAAAGCCAAGAAGATAGCTGCAGCACGAGGTGATGTTGCTGAGGAGTTGACGAGTCACTTGCAGAAGGCTCTGGACATCGCCAGCGGCCTGGATGACTATCTGGAGCAAATGACCACCCAGGAGAGTGAACCTCTAGCAGAGCTTTATAGGTACGTCTTCACTTCCTACGCCTGATTGTTCAGAGTTACAAAGGCTTTGTTAATTTAATATTTTCATTCATACTTCATTGTAGAAAAACGGTTTCTCATGACTGGGATCAGGTGCACAAGGAGGGAAAAACTATGTTCCGGCTTCCCAAAGAGTGCATCACTGGACACGTTGAAGGTGAGGCATTAACGTGTGCACTGCTAATGGCCTTTCATATTCCCTGCTCAATCTGATTTCTTCACATTTCTGGCAGGTCAGACCCTGAAGATGCTGATCCACATGAGTCAAGCCAAGAGGGTTCTAGAGATTGGGATGTTCACCGGCTACGGAGCTCTGTCCATGGCTGAAGGGCTTCCTGAGGACGGCTCATTAGTGGCCTGCGAGTTGGAGCCGTACCTCAAAGAGTTTGCTCAGCCCATTTTTGACAAGTCTCCACATGGCAAGAAGATTACTGTCAAGACTGGATCTGCCATGGACACCCTGAAGGTGAGAAAAATGACTCGACTGTCAGAGAAGAATGGAAAAAAGACCCTTCAGAAGATGCGGTAAACTGTTTCTCGAACCAAAAAATGCATTTAAGTAGCACTGCTTCTTAACGTCATTACACGTGTAGACACTTTGTTTTGTGTAGGACAGGAAAAGGTCAACAGGTTAAGAAACTTTGAAGACTACGGTTCATTTTGAAATATCATTCTGTTCCTTACAGGAGCTAGCTGCTGCAGGGGAGCAGTTTGACATGGTCTTCATCGATGCTGACAAAGATAATTACATCAATTACTACAACTTCATCCTGGACAACAATTTGCTGAGATTGCGAGGAGTCATATGTGTAGATAACTCGCTGTTCAAAGCAAAGGTTTATCTCAAAGACACCACAGATGGCAACGGACTGGCGCTCCGAGAGTTCAACCATTTTGTTTCTAATGATCCACGAGTGGAGCAGGTGAGTCTCAGAGCCTTTACGTGCTACAGTCCATTCTTATTCCTCTGTTATGTTAACGCTGCCCTCGCTGTTTGAAAGGTCATTGTTCCTCTCAGAGACGGCATCAGCATCATCCGCCGGGTGTCTGCGGCCTCCGAGTGCTCACGAACTCAGGTACTGTTGACCTCAGTCAATGATAGCCGTTATCGTATCTTCGTTTCGTAGCGGCGCTGTCCTCGTTGATCATATCTGCTTGATATTTATCAGTGCAAAATAACAGACGATGAGGTTTTCCGCGGAGTCAAAGGGCGTTCCATCCTGGATCGGCTGCGTCTTGATGGGAAGGTGGCGTACGTGACGGGTGCTGGGCAGGGCATAGGCCGAGCGTTCGCTCACGCGCTGGGTGAGGCTGGCGCGAAGGTAGCGGTGGTGGACCTGGATCAAGTTAAAGCTGAGGCAGTTGCTAAGGAGCTCTTTCTTAAAGGTAAGGGGTGCTCACACGACACATGGAGACTTAAGCATGAACTACATGTCTCCATCCTGCTCCCACTTAAATGAAGTTTGAACTCAGGCTGGTAATTTAAGCTGAATATAGTGGACTTTGTAGGGTTTGAATAGGCACATAGGTTTACAACCAAACAGAAGCTGTGTTTGTTTTTACCACGTTTTGTGCAGTTTGGCTGATTGAACTCAAAATAGAAAAATGAATGTAGCTTTAATTCCTGTTTCCAAAATGCTGCAGTTTTTATTGTTTCTTGTGTTTGCTGTTTTGGGATGTAATTCTAGATTTTAGGTTTAATCTGAGGTTGTTTAACTTAAATCAGCAGAAAACACACACACACACAAAATGCACATCACATTCTCCACCAGCTCACAACTCAAAGATCTTCAGGATCCAGTAATGTTGAGACAACTAAAAGCTGCCAATCCACACATTTATATTGCTGGAAACACAACGTAGTTTGCAGTTTTGCTTGGAAAATTGCTTAAACAGTTAATAGATTATGGAAATATTTGCCTATTACTTTCCTTTCTTTACTCACTAGTTCATTTGCTGTGGATGCAACTAAACGGGTAGACGCAATTTCACAGTCAATAAAGCAAAATAAATTTAATTTGGAGCATTCCCCTGACAAAGACAGTGATTTGACAATTAATTCTCTCTGCTTTTGTTTGGTGACATAGCTGAAATATCACAGCCTCCTTAATATAAAGCAAAGACACAGATGAATGTAACTAAAGTGAGACGGCTCCTGTGAAAACCTGCAGGTAGTGATGGTATCAGGGAGTCGGAGATGAAGTATTCAGATCCTTTACGAAAGTTGAAGTGTCAATACAGCAATTTAAAACTAAAATCCTGCATTTAGAAAATCCTACTTCAGTAAAAGCATGTAAATATCAGTTGTAAAATGTAAAGTATTGAATTAAAATTGAATTGATTTGGTTCGTCTGACTGGTAAATGATTATATTTGACATCATTAGATTATTAATAGTGAAGCGTCAGAGTGTCAGCACCTTGTAGCTGCTGGGTTGAAAAATAACTATTTAGTGAGCTGTGAACAACTCTGAAGCGTGACCCAGGCTGCACACTGCTTTTTGTAAGCTGTCAGAGGCCAGAGAGGTTGAAACCTGTTTAATCTTTACCAATCTTTGTGTTTTATTTTTTAAAGGCAAACCTGTTATATTGTCCACTGTGTAAAAACCTAATCTTAGCAACTAAAGCTGCAAAATAATTGTAGTGGAGCAGAAAGTACATTATTTCACTCTGAAATGTAGTATAGTGAAAGTATAAATACTCATATAAAGTACAAGTATCTCAGAATTGTACCTATTTCATGTATGTGAGCATCTTTGCGTTCCATTCGGTCGGCCTGAAACGAGTAAAACTGGCTTTAAACCAGCAAGTCTGCAATGACGGATGTGTCAAATGACACACTGATGAAAGGTCCTCTCAACGCTCAGGCATTAAGTGGAAGAAAAACGAGCTCATCTTGCGTGAGAATGTTGAAACTTGAGTTTAAAATTTTGTGTCAAATGTCAGAGCTGTGACCGTTATCAGGTTATGGTTCGTGGCCAGCAGATGGCAGCATACTAAAGGAAGAAATGTCTGGTCAGGATGATCTTCTGAACCTGTCACTGTGATTTTCTCTGGTTTCCTTTAATAGAATGAAATTTCCTAAACACATACAATGTACAAACCAAAACTGTATTTTGAAGTATTTTTAGTAAATTACTGTAGATTGTTCAGTTTATTGTCTGCTCTATTATTTTTCTGGCTTTTTATTTTATTTATTCTGTGCGTCTCTTCTAAACTAAACTTCTTTGCAGGAACAGAAGTTGCTTCCATTAGGTTTCCTGGCAGACATCACTATGTTTTTTCTTCTTCTTCTTGTTTTTAAAAACAGGTATCAATGCCATTTCGATCAAAGCTGACATTAGCAAATCAGAGGACGTCCAGAGGATGATCGACAGCGTCGTCTCCAAATGGGGAGCGCTGCACATCGCCTGCAACAACGCTGGCGTCAACATGAACTCAGCCAGCGAAGACACCAGTCTGGAGGAGTGGGACCAAACCTTCAACGTGAACCTGAGGGGGACTTTCATGTGCTGTCAGGTGTGTATCACCGGCTGTCGAAGCCAGGACTGTGTGAAAGTGTGTGACGGCGGCAGCCACAGAGACCGTTTACTCGCTCCACCAAATTGGAGCTGTATGATTTGCAATTTTCAGGCCAAAAAGAAAAGCACTTTTAACCGTAAATTTTTTTTAAATGTGATTTATAGTCATGGATTTTTGTTCAAATTAGCTTCAAATTCAGTCAGCGCTGCGAGATTTCACTGTTGCTTTGATAAACACTGTGGGAAGAATTCCATTTTTATCACTGGGTGCATAAGTCTATAAGACAGACAAAGAAAATTTTAATATACCGTTAAAAAAAGCAGGTTTCATAATCATATGTTAAATTCCTTCCCATTTGTAAAAGAAATTTTGCAAACTACATGAAGCAGAAAATCAGGTAGGTTAAAATAAAGCATCTAGGTTTTATAGATCATATCAACTTTACAATAGGAAAGTGGTAAATTAACACATTCACTGAGACAAATTTAAACAGAGTTGCTGCTATAGCACCAAAAATCTAAACATTGACCCACGACAATGTCGACTTTGTCCTGTAAAAATCACATGTTTCCAAAAAAAAATGGGGAGCCAATAAAAATGATCCCACTTTCAGCTTTGTGACGGGTGATTTTTAGACAACTCAATGGATTTTTTAAAAAAAGATTTCTGCAGCTTAAGAAGCAGGAGAATTTCCCCAACCCATAAAGGAACATATAACCATCATGCTATCTGAAATAATAAAAAGAAACAAATTTGGAAGTAGCAGTCTTTGTTAATGCCTGCTATGTCAAAATTTCTAAAAAGAAATATTTCTTTCATCAGTAAAATATGAGGGAAGATATGCTAAAAGAGCTAAATTGATTCTTGATCACGGATTCCTTTAGTGGTCTATTTCTGTCAGAACTAGTTAGAGTATGACCTAATTAGTGATGGTCCAACCAGCTCCGGCTCCTCCGTAGTAACTAAATTTAGTTCTAAATTATCTAGTTGCTGTCAGACATCTATATATACTGCAAGTCTTACAACCGCTTTTGTGCAGCTTTCAAATCCACCGAAAAATGTTGTTGGGCCTCCCGATGATAAACTACATGTTTTTGTGTTGATCCCAGCTCGAGCTTGTGGTTATGGCATATCGCTGCTTTAATAATAAGGTGTTTAATGTGTCTCTTTCACCCCCGAATCCTTGCCTTAGGCAGCAGGTCGAGTGATGTTGAAGCAAGGATACGGCAAGATTATCAACACAGCCTCCATGGCCAGTCTAATAGGTGAGTGATGATTCTATTCCCCCACTTTCTCTCTGGAGCCTCTCCATGTCTGCTTTTAATCTCTCCATTTGGCGTGGAGAGCTCGGAAGAGGGGGGGAGTTAAATACATTTGCGCCATACAGCTATGTGGGGGAGTACACATCACATTAAATAGTTTTATCATCAGACCGAAAGTATTTCTTGCAGTTTTCCTGTTTATGAGAAACTTAAGGTGAACCTGGGCATTTAAAACGGGATTAGGAAGCTTTTCTTCTTCGCAACTTTTACCCCAGTTAAAACTGCTCTGCATCCACCCCTGCATACAGTAAGCAGAGCAGAAAATACAAAGTGTTGTGATTGCGTCTCGCCGAGGCAGTTTTGCATCATAATAAACATCCCCTCTCTGCGGAGCTGTCTGGAGGATGTGGAAGGCAACCTGAGGTCCAACTTGGGAGGGAGGGTTCCTGTGCAACGGCAAAACCCCAGCCTGTGCCAGCGGCCTTGTTTGAACAGCGGAAGACACTTTCAGAGTTTAGAAGGAGCTTAGTAAAAGCCTTGTAATTCGCAGCACCGGTGTAATGTTCCTCCTCCAACAGGTTCCTCCAGAGGAACAGCAACACTTCATCAGCAGTATAGTCAAATCGCCTGTAAAGTGCTGTGCCATATGGGCCCCAGTCCCGACTGCAGGGGCAATCTGTAAAACAGGAGCATGCTGGTAAATAGAGGCCGGCATAAAGAAAATGATCAATTACTCACATTACGTTCAGTCCTTCAGGAATTTACTTTATTGGTCTGGACATCTGTTATAATATTGTCATAATGTGTAATCAGATGGGACCTGTTCTAGCCAAGTGGAAGCCCAAAAAGCAGCCGTAAATGTCCAATTAAAATGCACAATGACAGCTTTTTGTCCATCTGCTGAATAGAAAGTGCGCGTGTGCCCGCTAACACCCCTCCACACACACACTCCAGACCATCAACAACTATTTTTTTTTTCTGAATGATGGCCAGCAGCTCAAAGACACCCAGACAGGAAATATCTAACTTGATATGTTTTTTTTTTTTTTTTTTGGCTGCACGATGACCTTACTGAGGGATTTGTGACTCTCACACTCTTACCTGCAGATCTGCGCTGCATAGTAATGTACATTACAACAGCAGCGGCAGTCTGGGAAAAGAGTGCATCATTTGAACTCCTTATCTGCTCAGCAGAATTCAAAATGTAAAGGCGTGTCTGATAAAGAGCATGTTTTCTCCCACTTGAAATGGGCAATAAGTAGCAGGGTGAATGTTAAAGAGGGCTTTGGAGAATGCTCTCCTTCTACCTCTTTTTCCCTTCTCTGGGGATTACTGCTCTTTAAGACGGCGAAAAACATCAATGCAGGTTTATTTAAAGGATGAAGGCATTTTCTGAATGGTATTTTGGGCCCGTATCATCAGGTCTTGAGCAAGGATTAGTGCTGTTAGGCATTTTGAGCTGTGTTTCCTGTCCTGATAAGTCGGATTTCACCTTCAATCTGCGTGTAAGCCCTGGGCTCTGCTCCTCCTCGCCTGCTCCTCTGAGGTCCTAGCCTACCCTTATCCAGCCCGGCCCAACCCAGCCTTACCTTCCCTCTGCTATCTCGCCACACCTACACAATCCCACTCAACCCTGCTCTCAGCTACCAATCTGTTGTCCCACCCTTTACATATTATTTCTTCATCACTTTCCAACTTTTACCTCTTATCCTGCACATTTTTTTTTCTTTTCTCCTCTTTATCCGAGCGGTGTATGCGGGATGCTCCAGCCTTTTTCTCCCCAGGACTGGTCTCTGCCTCTCTGCAGCTGGCCGGTATTTATCATCCCGGTCTCACACTGAAGCCATTTGGCAGTCAGATCGGCGGGTGATGAGGTTAACTACTAAAGTTGTATGTAACTTGGAGCCTTCCTTGTGATGATTAATCAACCAGCAGAAAATGAGCCCCTGTCCCGGCATCCCATGCAGTGTGCAGCATCTGTGATGGTCAAGGCAAACAAATGGCTCCCTGCCTTTGTTGCTGAGGACAGAGCATAACTGGACATTATAAGCAATTAATTTTACATGGCTTCATCCGCAGAGTCCCCAGCAGCTAATGGAAGAGCTTTTATCTAGTATCCACTAGTAGTACCCAGAGCTGTTAGGCCTTTTTTTTTTTTTTGTAAAGAAAGGAGCTATTTAGCTTTTCTCTTTTTTTTTTGTGGGTAAAAGAATAAAACAGATTTTTAAAATGAGAATTTCAAAAATACATACCATTGTTAATGATGCAGTAAATGTTACCTTCATAAAACACTGTGTTGTCCATTTAGAGGGCTGATTTTCTTTTCCACCCTCTACCCTGCAGTCCCCCATCCCCAGAAGCAGCTTTCCTACAACACATCCAAGGCTGGAGTGGTCAAACTGACTCAGACTTTGGGCACCGAATGGATTGACAGAGGAGTACGTGTCAACTGCATCTCGCCGTAAGTGCCGTCTATTCTTGGCCTTCTTCTCTGTTGTTTTTTTATGCTAAAACGCGCAGGCCCACCTTTTGATTGTTGCAAGAGGTTGAGCTTCAAAAGGACGCGGTGATTAGTGTGTTTGCTTTCATACGAGAAGCCCCATTTGAGAATGATGCACTAATTTAAGTCCTCAAACAATGCATCAGTGCTTAATTAGATGACGTCTTGAGGGATGAATCAACCAAACACTTGCTCTAATTGTTCTGTTCAATTAGGGAATCAAATTTGCAACCTCACTCCAAGTGTCGGCGCAACAATAGCGCCTTGTTTGTATCTATTTGTCTGTGAAGCTGAGCGGTAGGAAGAAAAGAGGAGAACACAGGAAGGGCTGCATGTGTGGTGGTGGTGGTGGGGGGGGAGTGTTAAGTGGAGCATCCCTGAGCCCCAGCCATCCCTGAGCAAATCCGTCCGGTGGCGCTGGGCGAGCCAGGCCCAGCCACAGCCCCAGAACAAAGCCCTCACACGCGCACGGCGCTCAGCTTTATTTATCGGCAGCTTGTTTGCTAATTTTAATTTGCAAAGAAGCAATTCTCTCTCCCCTCGCTAACTGGGTGTCTCAATGGGCCGCTGATTTCTTTGAAGTGACAGTCGGTAAATATGCATAAAAAAGGGACACAATTAGCGCTCACGAGGTTGACTGGAGCCTGATTCCATTGGCAACTTTAGCCGCAGCGGTGATAAGCTGCATTATCTAGAAAATTGGCTGAGGGAAAACAGTACCTCTGATTGCCAGGAAAGGTTCCAGATAACAGGGCAGCTGAAGAGAAATATAATTGAGGTGGAATATGTTAACCAAGGTGTCACACGCTCCTTGGAAGTGCTAATTTAGCCAAATGTTGGAATTCCATATCAAGGCACCAGGATACATTGAACAATGATTCAGGCCTTATGGCTTTTAGTCACTGTCACACCAATTGTGCAGAAAGTCACAAGTCGTCTCGTATGAGGCACAGGCGGGCATGTTGACATATTTATTCAGATGTAAGCTCTGTGATATTTACTGCAGGAACCGCAGAGAGCGACATTTGTTGTGACACAGAGCTATTAGCCGAAAGTGCAGCCACAAAATCAAAAGCAGCGCACTTCCCCCCCCCCACACCACCACCTCCCTCCCAATAAATTCTACCTAAATACTGTCTCAGCATCAAAGTAGTTCAAGCACTTTTCAGTCAGGAATCAGAGCAGCAATATGAGGGAGCTGCATATAATAAGTAGTTAACCAAAGGCTATGAGCAAATTATGCCAGACGTCCCCTCGTACCCATGGGCTCTTCCTGAGACGTGCCAGTCATTTAAGTGCCACCAGTCCCACAGTAAATATCATCAGAGATGCCATGCCATGCCCTTTCTTCAAAGGATAATTGGGTTTATTTTTGTCACCAAAGTGGTGGCTCTGAAACAACGCTGTCACTCCTGGCTCTGAACTGTGATGCCTTCTGATTTCATTGTGTTTTTTTTTTCCTTTCTTTCTCCCCTCCTTTCTCTCTCACTTTGTCTGCCTCTCTTTTCAGGGGGATTGTTGACACCCCTCTCATCCACTCGGAGAGTCTGAGGCCTCTGGTGCAGCGCTGGCTGTCAGATATCCCTGCTGGTAGACTGGCTCAAGTGACAGACCTGCAAGCTGCAGTGGTCTACTTGGCATCTGACGCCTCCGACTACATGACAGGGCATAACTTAGTCATAGAGGGTGGGCAAAGTCTGTGGTAGAAGGGGGTAGATGAAGAGATGAAAACTTTTTTTTTCCTCTTCACTCTCCAGGGATTAGTCTCAGAAATAGGTGGCATTCACATTATCTCCTTTTGACACATTCACAGCCGTATTATATGTTACTGTGTGTTTAATTTTTTTGCCCGCCCATATCTTTTATGGGGCAATGAGACGAATGGTAGATTTTTTGTCTTCTGTGTGTCTAATAGAGGTTCAGAGCGTCACACTGAACTTTTTATTGGACGAGAAGCAGTACACAACGTTGTCACGATATCTGATGCATGTTTTTTTTTCTTACGGTATTTGGCTGGTTCAGCAGTTCTGATTATGATAATAAGTGTTCTTTAGTGCGACTGAGAGAAAATGATCTGTTGCAAATAAAAGTGCTAATGCAGCGAAATGCTTTCAAAAGTGGAAAAGGGTAATAAAAGGAATGTACGTTTTTGTATTTTGATAACAAAATACACGAAAAGCAAATGACTGCGTGTGTTTCTTCAGTGCATGTGGGCACCAGAAGAAAAACCTTGTCGGGTTTCAAAGTTAGAAAATCCCAGAAAGTGTCTAATACAGAATGTTTAGTCCAGTGGTGACCATAAGTTTACAAAATGGGAGTTCTGTGCACTGTTTGCACCTTGACTTAGCGCTCCCTCTGGCCCAAGACTCATGTGTACTGTATGAAGGGTTACAACATCCCAGTGTGCCTCTCTCCAGCTCTTTCTTGCCAAATGGTTCCCACAAGTGGTGCTTGTGAGCGCCATCTTAATTGCTCCATTAACTGTTTGTGTGCTGAAAAACAATACTTAAAGGAGAGGTTAGCCGAGGATGTGACCCCAGTCGCTGCAATTATATGAAAAGTAGTGGCCAATTAGCGCTCTCTGCAATGTGACACTGTTGGTGTTTATGTGAGCAACTTCAAGTTCTCACTGTTAGTGACCGTTCGCTGATTTACATAATTGGGGGATTGGTCATTAATGGGAATGGCGTGTGAGAGGATCCCATTAAGATATGGAGTGAGATCTGATCATCTCCTCTGCTCTGCGCTATTTATCTCCAGCTGCATTGGCACATTGGAAATTATTGGGATTCTTATCCTCTGTGTTTTATGGTGAAATATCAAACTTTGGCACAGTGTGCGGATGTGAGACTTTGCGGTGTTTGTTCACAAGTGGGCAACTTTGCCCATTTTGTCGGCTGTTTCAGCGTCTTGCCACTGAGGGGCAGTATAAAGACAGGCTGCTCCAGCACTGGCACAAGGACACAAAGTTACAACGAGAGGTTATCACATTATTTGCTGTCATCTAAAGGTAATATCAGTGAACTGCTACATGTATGGGAGCAGATAATTATAATATAAGAACACCTCTCCAATTCGAGTATGCAAACAGCTCAACATGAGAGTCAAGGAAAAGCTGAGTAAATACTAATGTATTTTCAATTAAATGCGGTTTGATAGTGGACAGTTACATTTCAAATGCATTAAAATTGTAATTATGTCCAGTTGTTGAGAGGAGATTTGAATAATTGGTAAAAGTTCACAGACAGTAAAGGGAAATATGATAAAGCAAATGATGGAAAAGTGCAATGTCCATTTGCATCTGCAGACCAAATCTTTACTTTCAACAAGATGGATTTCATTTCAAAACCTCAGTGTTTTTAATGTATGTTTTTCCAAGTTGAATAAAGTTGAAGCTGGGACACTCTATGGTTAGTGGCCGACACTTAATGCTATTAAAGTGTTGGTTTCATACCACAAGAAGAGAGGCAGAACGGCCTTTACAAAGTTCCGTTTTTTTTTTTACCCCCAGTTCTTGGTTCTCTAGTCGTTCACTGTCACATTTAGTGTCAGTGTCTAAACTGTTGTTTTGCCGTCACTTTGCACCATATTAAACTCTTTCGAAGCCCTCTTGGAGAGGTCTTGTTTTCCTTTACAATTGCAGCCAAAGGAGCCAAATCCATAATTTGTGCAGCAAAACATGATCCCTTGAATGCCATGGCCTGCTTCATGAGGTGTAAGTGATCTTGAATCCATTATTCATGACCTCCTTTTGGTACCATTACACTGAAGAGTAGGACCCCGTTGTACGTGGCGCTGTTGTGCTAAACAGTTCTCCAGCAGAAAACGGCACTCGCGCCCTCACACTTCAAATCAACTTTGATTAATGCTCCGCTCTGTCACGGCATGCAACATTTTACAGCGGCAGCCATTCAGAGGGAGACCCGGGTCGATGCTGAACAACACGGCGAGGCGGTATGTGTTGCTGAGCAGGCTGTGTCCTGGAGACAAGAGGACCCAGGGGTTTATGGATGACATATTAACATTTGACAATATCAATACACTTTTATTGATGGATTATAGCGTCCCGTTACATACCCCACTCAGTGGAGTGTTCAAAGATGAAATGTTACCCCTTATAAATTGAGTTGAGCCCCCTGACGCTATCATCAGAGGTAGGACTGTGCAACGGCAAAAAGAAAATGTCAACATTTATCTTCTAATAAGGGCTAGGAGTGCTGCGTGAACTCCAAACTTAACGACCCAAGACATTTTAATTTGACTAATTACACGATGGAGAATCTGATCCTCGTCGCAGCCAAAACATTAAGTCATTTTGCTGCAAAATACATGTTTGCAATGTCAGGTATTGTTCTAAAAGCACCATTATTTTAGGAAAATATCTTTTGACTTGTGAAATTAAGAAAAGCAGATAACCACAGTATTTTCAAGGAAGGTTTTCTTCACATCTTGATGTGTTGTAAATAGTGTATAAAACCACAACTTGTCATTTCCACAATTATCCTTTTGTACAAATTTAACAAACATGTGAATCACTAAGCTTCAGAAGTGCCATTGTGCATTTTAAATCCACAGAGAGTCGAGCTAGCTGGGTTTGGAATTGTTCCTTGAAATCAATGTTCCCCAAAGGATCGTACGTTCCCTGGTTCTTACACATGAGCTCCCAAGTTCCCAAGATCATACGTTCTTCAGCTCTGTATTTACTTTTGTGAACACAGAGCTTGTGTGTGCTTCAGTCACAGCGGGTTTTCTGTTTCCCAGCACTGCAGAATGACTCTGGGTGTGAAAGGTCTACACTTCAGGGAACATCTCAAATTGTTGGAGTCATGGGATCACCAAGGATCACAGCTTAATGCTGCCTTTGGGTTAGGGTTAAAATGATAATCACTGGTTTTCTTGTGTATATAAAGCCGTTTTGAATCTTGTTTTAAAAAAAAAGAAAGAAAGAAAGAAAATGTTTATGAAATACAGATTTGGAAATAATTGTTAGACCAACTGCTGTTTCCTTTATAAATTCTACACAACAGGCGTTCGACGTTGATAATGTTGTTTGAATTTGATCATAGTGGTGAAACAGTTACAGCATCTTCTAAAAGACATGACTTAAAATAATTTAGTAGTTTAAAGATGTGATGAAAACATTTCAAAGTGTGCTCGAGATGGCTGGAAACATTTCTGAGTCACCATTAATGAGCTATGAATGTAAGGTCAACATCTAATCCAAGCTGAATGTTCATTCAACAGTGTCTAAAAGAGAATTGTGAAACGACGAGGAGAAGAGAAGATACATCCATCCATCCATCCATCCATCCATTATCTATACACCGCTTAATCCTCACTAGGGTCATGAGAAGAGAGATACAGCGAATTGGAATCAGCAAAACACTTGATATCACAACTTTAAGAAGAAAAAACGGGATGCTTCCACCAAAAACTGCAAAGGAAGACGCAGAAAACAGTGCCAACTCTAATAATTATTTCCAAAGTTGTATTTAAACTTAAAACAGTTCAAAATTTGACCCGAACACAACGGGAGAGTTAATATGTGTTAACAGCGTGTTGAGATTAACGGGACTCTGGGAACGTCGATATGCCCCTGCTGTTTCCAGCCTTTATGCAAAGCCAAGCTAACCAGCTACTTGAGCTAACTTCCTGTTTCGCATACAGACACAAAAGTACCGTTGACCTTCTCATGCAAGTGTCAGCAAGGAGGTGAATTCATTTCTCAAACTGTCAAAGACTTCTTATTCAAGACTATAAAAAAAAAATGCAGAAAAAAACAAACTAATTCAATGGTTGCATTTTTTTTAAAATTAAGTTAACTTTCATTGACAAAAGCGTCGTCTATTAACTGCTGTTTCATTTTGATCACGAGGGGTTGCATCAAGTTTGATTAGCCCTTTGTGTTCTCATCTGATTGTATGTGTGTGTGTTGCACTTGACTCGCTGAAGGCACTGGATCATTTGTCTACCGGCGTTTGTTGGCTCATGTGTTATTCATTGAAAAGCTGTTTTGCTGTTTGCTCTCTGCGTGCTACCTGCCGACTTCACATGGGGTCACTTTAACTGGCTGCTGTGTGTACTCAGAAGGATTGCCAATAAATAAAAGTGTGAGGTATTATATCGTATTCCATCTGAATGCTTGTGACGTGCCTTGCACAATCAGAATTTATTAAGAACCTTTTACCAAAATCATGTTTCACATACTTCTGTTGCGTTCACTTTTAGGGTCTCGGTTTAAAAGCAGAATTCTTTGTAATCAAATCAAATATTTCATAATTAAATCAAAACATACCTGACGTGTTTTTCTTTTGTTATTTGCCACGACTGCCGTAACGCCGATCTCTTCCTGCTGCTTTGACAAAAACAAAGCTGGTTTTCATTGTATTTTTCGTAATATCTCACTGTTTGTATTCTGTTTGATACTAACGCAATTACCCAACATGATTATGGGAATTTTTTTTTTTTTCTTTTTAAAAGATGCCTCCTATGGCATCTCAAGAGGTGTCTAAAACAATTCAAATGTCCACATCCTATCTCCACATCGTAAATATATCAGGCTTTTATTCAACATTAATACTGAGCTGGGGAAACATTGCACTCCGAGTTCTCTAATTACAATGCAGCTAATGTATTATTTCCTCCCCATGTGGGATTACTTTCATCTTTCCCATTAAGATGCACATTTTGTTTGGATACTCAAATTACAAACCCCATATTAAATCTGACTGTGCAAAAGGCATTGATCATAGCCCCGATAGCTGCACTCCAACTTTGATTTAATTTGCACTTCCATTAATATCTATGAGACGTCCGATTGTCGTCTTGGGCATATTGATGGTATTGTAAGCCCTGCCTTCATATAATGTTCCCCAGCGGCAATGAGGAAATGTTACAGAGAATTAGGCCGAGAAGCAGGCTCAGTGGAACTGGCACTGCAGTCGGAAATTCATTATCCTAATAAATAGAGGGGAAAAAAGCAAGAATCTTAAGAGAAATTTCTCTCTC